GGTCATTTTGTGTTACCATATTACTCTCTATATATTGTAATCTTTTCCCGTTATTATGGAATCAATAAAAAAATGTCAAAACCCTAATCTCCTCCTCTATTCTTTTGGAGTCCGGAAACGCTCGAAGTTTTCCATCTTTCTCTACCTCATATTCTTGGAGCTTGAAGAACACTCGAAGTTCTTCCTTATCCGATACGATATTCGTATCAATCAATTTCCATATCATATATTCAAAAGAGGGGAAAATAGCACATGCAATAAGATGGATCAGAGTATATCAATTTCCATATCAAATTGAAGAGTGAGGAAGAAAAAAGATGGAGTCCCGAATCAGAGTATATCAATTTCCATATCAAATTGAAGAGTGAGGAAGAAAAAAGATGGAGTCCCGGATCAGAGTATATCAATTTCCATATCAAATTGAAGAGTGAGGAAGAAAAAAAGATGGAGTCCCCAAAGGAGCACCGATGATTGACGGACGATGGTGCAATGGATGATTTCCCTGGGAAGAGAGAAGAGAAGTGCCCAAAGGAGTGACCGATGATTGCCCTAGATCCCCTTTCTGCTGTTCCTGTTTTGCCTCGCACTCACCACGGTATTTGGGGTGGCTCACGACATCACATGCGAACCAATTTTCGCCTCTCCCGTTGTACAACTTTACTTTCCACGAATAACAGGGCGTGGCAATGTAAATCTTTGCCGCTGCCCGTGCTCTAATACTCCACCACCCCAACTCTTCCTTACACTTTTTTCACTTTAATACATTTATATACTCCCTTCGTCCCGCAAAAACTTATCATTTTGACTTTTATAGGATTTAAGGAAAGTTTATTTTGGTACTGAAGTATTAATTTTCCAAAAATATCCTTTGATGTGATGGATAAAGTAGGATGTGACGAATAAGTTAATAGAGAAAAAGTGTGATGTGATAGGTAAGTTAAGAATTAATAGGGGTAAAAGTGACTTTTTAATAGAAAAAGAATATTTTTTGGGACGAATGAAAAATGAAAGGAGAAAGCTTTTTTAAGACGGAGGGAGTAATACATTTGTACAATTTCATTTTTTGAATAAAACTGGAAAAATTTCAGAATTCAATTAAATAAAAACATAAAGTATATTGGTAGTTCGTGTTAAAATGATTGGATTAGATTTATCTCTTTAAAAATTTCTAAAATTTATTTCATTCTAATAAAGCGTAATATAAACTTAGAGTAATTGATAACTACATATTAAAATTTGTGTAGTTTGACTTAAAGATGAATACATTGAAACAGAAGGAATCTATCACATCGAATAAATACACCACTTCCAGATTGACCGTCAGTCGGTTCTGAGAGGCTCTCAGAGATAGGACTCATCTTTAAAAGAAGAAAACAAAAATTAAAATATACTCCCTCTGTCCCCCTGTATTTGTCCACTTTCATTTTTACACACCATCCAATGCACTTCTTTAATCCATTTTATCTTGTAATTTGTATATTAAAAAATTATAAAAATTATATATTAATAATCTATATGTTAAGACAAATCAAACAAGATCACGCATGACTATATTTAGGCTTACACATTGAGAGAATTTGATGAGTCAAAGTGATTAGATGAACAGTTTCAAAAGTCAAAAGTGGACGAATATAGCGGGGGGACGGAGGGAGTAGAAATTTTTTATTATGGTGCAATCTGTATATCCTACTCGACATGTTTTTCATATGTAAGCCACAACCAGATTGGTTGGAAAAACTACTCAATAACATTGAGGATCCGTTCGGTGAGTTTTGAAAGTATGATAAGATATGGTTATGAAATCAGAGAGAAATGATCCGAGGTTTGAAATTTGAAATGAATTTGTTTCGAGAGATTTAAAATAATGATTTAATTAGTGATAAGTGAAGATGATTGACAATGGAGGTGGTTAGGGGTGACAATGGTACTCGGTGACGAAGAATGATCAATGCTTGAGAGGGATATCAAACTCCTATATTGATATCTCCCAAATTCGGCAGATATCGAAACCCTCTATTTGAAGGATTTATTATATCTGGAGATATCGAATTTGATTTTTTTTATTTCATCGAATTCAATATCTTTTTTGGTTCCACCAAGCACTCAAAAAGAATTTTGATGTCTGAAGATATCAAAACTCATATCTTGTTTGATCACCAAACACATCCTAAGTGAAAATTGAGAGGTAATGAATTGGCAGACCTAGCAGCCCAATGTTCTTGTATTGAATAAAGAGTTTTTGTGTTCGGCCGGATTAAACAATCCATTCTGTAGTTGTAGGCCCATAAAATATTTCATAATGTAACACGTTCCATCACATGCAATCGAGATTTATTTTTGCTCCAACTTTACGTGTGAATATTAATTTTTCAAATGGCCGGGGTGATGATAAGGTTTAAAATATCGGCCAGAAAGGTTTTATATTCCAACCAAGGCAAGACACATGTGAAGAATCTAGATTTAAATGAGAAATATTCTACTTCCCATGTCACATAAAATATTTTTCACTTTTTCTTTCATTCGTCACAAAAAATGTTTTTCATTTTTATTTAAAAGTAATTACCAATACTAATTCTTAACTTACTTATCGTATCACATTTATTTATTACTTCCTCCGTCCCCCTAAGATGTTCTCATTTTGACTTATGGTAATTTTTAAGGAAAGTTGAAAAAAGGTAAAAGTTTACCATAATAACCTTAATGAAAATGGATGGAGTGTATTAAATGAGGTGGGTGAGGTGTAATAAATAAAGTAAGTGGGGGTAGTTGTGGTATTTTAATTGTTAAAAAATGAAATGAGAAGATCTACTGTGGACAAAGAAAAAGGGCTATTGGAAAGATATATGGGAGACGGAGGGAGCACTAATCTATCGATCATATCATACTTTTATCTATCATATCCAAAGTTATTTTTAGAAAGTTAAAACCAAAATATAAAACCGGAATAGTTTTATAGGACGGTCACAAGAATAAAAAATCGATCTTATGAGTATTACGAATCTAGGATTCTAATTTTAACTACCACTACAATTTATGAATAGACCTTCTTTATTAGACTAAGGTCATGTTCTCCTCAATTTATTTTTTTACTTATTATATATTATTATTGGAATGAGGTATGCAGATCAGACCAGATTAAATCAGATGAGAAACAAATTTAAACATAACTACATTCAGATCAGATCTGAAATTATTCCAAACAGATTAGAACCATTCAGATCAGTTGAAGAGAACTTTATTAATTGAATATATCAATATACAACATCTTGAGAGATATTTATTCTTATTTCTAGTGGACCTCAAAATCTATCAAATATTATTAATTGATACTCCCTATGTCCACAAATAAAATTTCTGTTACGCGTTACGATCGATGTTTGGCTGAAATTATTTTCAAATCATTTTATATGAAAAATGGAGTAAAATTTAAAAATAAAAGTTACATATTAAATAAATTATATAAAAAATTTACAAAACTAGCTATATTATTTTATCAAATAGGTGACGAAAATAGGCCAACAAAGTTGATGGGTATAACTCACTGGTACCACTCGGCAAGTTCACAGGCGCCCGGGTGGTAACGAAGTCTGGCCCCGCCTGACCTCACCAACCCTGGTAGGCTGACCGGGTGGATGTCAGGGGTAAGACCTCTGAGATCGTGACTTCATCTGCAGAAGGCTTGAAGACTAGCCGACTTGAAGACTGGCCGGGAGGATGCCTTGAGATAAACAGTAGCGAAAAACTATATTTTACACTATTATAAATAATTTGTAATCAAATAATTTGCAAGTAATCAATAATTCACACAGCTTGTAATTTGTAATCGATCCTCATATCATAATAACAAATTGGGTTACAGGTGTTCTCGATCACCTACAGCCCTTTCACTTTTTATGATCGACTTAGTACTCATGTTAGTTTTACACTATAAAAATGAATAAAGTTTAACTCTGTGAATAATAAACGAAAAGTTTAATTGTGAACGAAAAGAATATTCATTTTATTAAATCATACACCCTCCGTCCCATAACTAAAACTCCGATTCCACTTGACTCTTATACCTGAATTTACCCACCACCAAAGCATCAACCATGCAGATATAATAGAGTGGTAAAAAATGAAATACCCAAGCATTACTCTATATAATATAGAATGAGTTTGCTAAGAGTACACTAGCATCCACATCAACTATCCGTAAAACGATGGGTTTGAATTGGTGTCTCTTAAATCATCAAAGGTGTAATATTATTATTACAATCCCTCCATTAACGACATGACACCGCTCTCACTATTTTGGTTCAATGTTAAATTATGAAAATCAATTTTTGACTTATAGTTAAATAAAAACTACTTTATATATGATTAAACAATTAATAGTTTAAAAATATTTTACAATTTAATTTAATTAAAAATTAAAGATTTTCAATTCAATTTTAACTATAAAAAGTTAAAACTAGATGTTGATCACACGTCCATCCAATGTAAGTTTGTATTCATCTAGAGTCATATTGCACATGTAAAACTGCAATGTGCCCTTCTAAAATACTATTCCCTCCGTCCCTTTAAACATGAGATGTTTTGATTTTGAAGAGATTTAAGGGGAGTATATTTTAGTGTTGAATTTCCAAAAATGTCCTTTGATGTGATAGGTAAAAGTAGAATTTGATGGGTAGATTATTAGTAAAAAGATATGATGTGATAGGTAGGATATGAAAAAGTAAGGGCTAAAAGTGACTTTTTAATATAAATAAGAAGTATTTTTTGGGACCGATGAAAAAAGAAAGGAGAAAAGTTTTCAGGGATGGAGGGAGTATATTCTATATTTTTATCTCTTTAAAATTTAAACTCTTGATAACTATTCTTGTTTAGTCATTAATAATCAAATTTAAGTGTCGGACATCAGTAGATAGAGCTCGTCAGTAGTTGATAAAAAATCAGGGGTATTGATGTAACTTTTAAGTTTAGGGATAAACGATGCAAAAAACTTATTTTATAAATGGTTGTATAAAGTATATTCATTGAATTTTAGAAGTCACAAATAGAAAAGATTTACGGGCAAGAGAATGAATCCTCAACTCGAATTTAGGAATGCTCCGATCCATTGGCTTAAAGACTGCAAGAAATACAAACAAAATACTCGTTAGACCAATAATAAGAGATAAGAATACTCGCTAATTAACTGATACTCCAACTATGGACCTATGGTACGTGGAATTGAATTAAATATTACGGAATTAATAGAATTAGAATTGAATTGGAATTGAAATTCTATGAGGTTCAATTTCAAAAAATTGAATTTACCAATTCCAATTCATTTTTTGTACTATCAATTCTAAATCCAACTGATTTTTGTGTTACCAACACCACAATTGGAATTGAAGTCATTTATTCCAATTCCATAATTTGAAATTCGTGTATCAAACGGTGCCAAAGGTTCCATTTGGTATACAGTATTCAAATTATAGAATTAGAACTGAAAACAACAATTCTAATTATGTTATTTGGTAGCACAAAAATATATGGATTTGGAATTGGTAGTGTCATAATTGAATTGGTATTGCAGAATTCAATTCTACTTCAATCAATCAATGGAATTTCAACTCTTAATTCAATTCAAATTCTCTTATCAGACCTATTGAGCACATTACATTAATTATGTTGTACTCTCTCTGTTCAAGAAAACGGTTCCTATTTTAACTAATGAAAAAAATAAGAAGTGTATATTTGAAGTTGATTTTTTAAGTTTATCCTTGATGTGATGGATAGATTATTAGTGAAAAAGTATAATGAAATAATTAGGGTAAAAAAAGTAGGGATAAAAGTTATTTTTAAATAGAAGATGGAAGTGTTTTGGTGGAAGAGAAAAAATTAAAAGATGAAGTTTTTTGATGAAAGAAAGAATACAATTTATCGAAGTATACTTTAATCATCAGTAGTTAAATAAAAATTGGTAGAAAATTTTCAAAATTTCATTTAATTAGCACAAATTAATTTTAATCTGCATCATTAAAATTTAATTAAAAAGTAATAATTGAAAACCGCATTTATTTCCAAATGCAGGTTACCTGGAACAGTCCATGTGTTGAGAAATGGGGAAACTGAGGTGAATATCACACCTCTTGTAAATCTCCCGTATCCTCGACTCCACGAAACTCGCGTTCAAATCCTCGATGCACGCGCATATCCTACGCGGACCCTCCGCACGCGCCACCTCATTCAGTTCTTCGAGGTTCGAGCAGCACCTCGCCGGCGGCCACTCCGCCTCTCCGGTCAGAAACCCCACGCACGCCGGGAATCGACACCGCACGTCCTCGCACCGCCCGCGTTCCGGCGGCGGCGGGGACGGGAAGTAGTATTCCATGCCGGAGGCGTCGTCCCAGCTGTCGACGAGGGGCCCCGCTTCGGAATTCGAGACCGCGAGAAAAGCGGAAAGGTAGAGAAGGAGGAGAGATGAAGCGGCCATTTAATTTCTTCTTCAAATTTGCGTTAAACTTTTTGAGCTTTTATTTTCGGTTTTGCGTTTGTGTATATCTATTGTTGTTGTGGTGCATGCACAAAAAAAATATACGGTGTCTCTATCAATTTTGAATCTCAATTAAATAAAAATTATTTACTTCGTCTTTTAAGATTTGTTCAATTTTTTTTTGATTTTTAGAAAATTTAAATCAGAGATATTTTTGTATTAACTTTCTAAAAATAGTTTTGATGTGATTAGTAAAAACAAAATGTGATGAGTAAATTATTTGTTAAAAGGTATAATATGATAGGCAAGATGAAAATGATTTTTTAATAGAAAAAAATGACTTTATGGGACACAAAAATAAAGAAAGGAGAGAGACCTTTAATTTACTAGTTTAAAAATAATTTTTTAGATTTAACTTTTTTGAAATTTTTAAAATTTTATTACATTGTATTAATAATTGAGAGTAATTCATGATTAAAATTTATCGAATTTGATTCGAAAATGATAAACTGGACCGAAACTCGAGAGAATATAATTGTAATAGCGATATATTTTCTCCATTTTAAGTATGTCATCTTATTGAGAAAGTCAGCATATATCATTGAGAAAGTCACCATATTTCATGAAGTTTTCGATAGTTTTTAGTTGTGTGTGCATTTTAATTATATTGATTCATTTCACAAAGTAAAATAGACATGTCATCACTTAAGTATATAATTGTAATTTTTAAGTATATAACTATAATTTTTTATATTCATATCAATTTATAAATAAAATCATTTTAACCCACATGACATCATGCATCTTTTTTAAAAGATGACAATAATGTACGGAGTAGATCACAAAATGGGAAAGTGGATTTATTTAAGGACAATCCTAAATAGAGAAAGTACGTGAGGAAAAGATGAATTAGACATGCATTACGTGCGTGAGTTAGCTAGCTAATTGGTAGCTAAGACGTAGGTGATGAGAAGGAAGGATGTTTAATTAGTAGGGCACACATGAAGAAGACGTGCATGCGCTACATATGGAGTGCCAGGCACGCAATCAATATAAACGAAAATCAAATTTTAAAGGTAAACAAATAATCAAGTTATGCCAAAAAAATTAAAATTTTTCTTTTTTATTTTTAAAATAAGACTATTGTACTATAACAATTTACGTATTTCTTGCATTGTATGTGTGTTGAGTGTTGGCACTTCATAGAGTAAATCTTGATACTATATGTAGATATTAATTATTGATATTGTTCCATATAAATTATACGTACTCCATCCGTTCCATAAAATATTTTACCATTTTATTTGACATTAAAATTAAGAAAATTGAAATTGTGTTATAAAAAATGATACAAGTGAGATAAAAAATTTATAAAGCCACATACTCCTTCCATCCCGGAGTATTCGTCCAGTTTTGACTTTTGAAACTGTTCATCTAAGCACTTTGACTCATCAAATTCTCGGATCTCAATGTGTAAATCTAAATATAGTCATGTGTGATCTTGTTTGATTTGTCTTAACATATAGATTATTAATATATAATTTCTATAATTTTTTAATATACAAATTATAAGATAAAATGGATTAAAGAAGTGTATTGGATGATGTGTAAAAATAAAAGTGGACAAATACTCTGGAATGGAGGTAGTAATTTACCTCTTTATTATTTTGGCATCTCGATAAATTATTTTCTTTGTATGTTTTGATTAGTCATTTGATAAAAAAAATCTTTTTGTCACCTTTTATTTTATAAAGCTTTAGACATAACTTTAATTTTTAATATATACTCGTATTTTTTATTTAATACAGAGTTTTAAATAAAAGCATTTTAAAATTAAAGTCACAGGAATTTTGTATGTTAACCGTAAAGGGTAATTCATTTTTGTGAGGGAGTTGGTATATTTTTGTCTTATATACTCCTTCCGTCCCAAAATGTTTATCACAATTACATTTTGCAATAATCACATGAACTTTTATTTATTTGTACATTTTCATTGATTATTTAATAAAATAAAACATGCACTCACATTTGAAGGGTATGGATGTTCTTCCACTAAATTAATTACATTAGATATAATCTTAGAATCCATTTGTTTGGAGAAAAAATATCTCATTAGAAAATTTTAAATTTAATTTTCAAAGTTTGGTAACATAAGTAGTAAAGAAATATTTCTCTGAGAAAATATCTTCTCTCAGATATAGAAAATAATTTTCAAAAAATGATAGAAAATAGTTTACAGAAAAAATATATTCTCTCTCAATTATTTCCTACTCTGATCAATACTCGAGCCCCCTGATTCCACAAAAAAAAAGCAAAGAGATTATGCGTGATCAACTGATTTTACCATCCCCTTCCGGAATTCATATATATATTTTATTCATATTTATATTTATTTAGCATTGTCACTATTTGTTTTTATAAATATTTTTTTAATGTTTATTTTTTTAGGCCATGGAAAATAAATTGGAAAAATGTATAAAAAATAAATGACTTGAATTAATTTTATTTATTTTAAAAATGAATTTAATAATCAAACTATTTTTCCATTAACTTATTTTCAGTTTTTTTAATAATCAGTCGATTAATAAAAAAATAAATACTAGTACTAAATAAAAAATAAAAACAATTAAAAAATCGTGGTGTTACCTCATTTTGCATTCTTTAATAAGCAATATTTTTATATGGAATATTTAGATTAGGTGGTGTTATTTTTCCATGTGTCATAATCCGTCTAATTTGATTGAAAAATCCGGACCTGGGATATGATGATGATGATTATGACCAAACAAAAACCTTCCAAAACTCCTTTGTTGAGAATAATTTAGGCCTCTTCTCACCTTCTTTGTTAAAGAGCATCGCACGTCGAAACTTGAAGAGGAAATAAACCGGTATATAAGCCCTTGAGTTGAACTAGCTAATCGATTGGATTCAATCTTTTAATGTGGTTCAACCCAAGTGTCTTATTATCCAATCCAGTTGTCCATACCCCATCCTAAATTTTATCATGGTATCAAAGCCAGTTTTAGCCCACCTCGTTTGTCAAGGTGTTCGTCTAGATGTTCATTCCTAGCGGCCCGTTTGTCTTTAGCCCAGTTGTCCGTATGGAGTATGTACCCAACGGCCTATGGCCTGTTTAACACGATTGCTTGTCTGGAAGTCCATACCCAGCGGCTCGTGGTCCTTTAGGTGTTGGCGCTCAAAAAAAAAATCAAGGGGATGGGAGTGCATTTGCAAGTGGTCAACCGGTTAGATTCAAAATGGCCCGGTTGTCCACTTGAGGGGGAGTGTTAAAGAGCATCGCACATCGGAACTTGAAGAGGAAATAAACCGGTATATAAGCCCTTGAGTTGAACTAGCTAATCGATTGGATTCAATCTTTTAATGTGGTTCAACCCAAGTGTCTTATTATCCAATCCAGTTGTCATACCCCATCCTAAATTCTATCATTCTTTCTCATCACAAATGTAATCAATTCAATATACGTAGATATATACTTGCCTTAGCTTGTAGCTTGTAGCTAGTAGCTATTTCCATCAAGAACAACTAACTACAACAAAAGCAAACACAAACTAAGAACACAACCAAACAAAACAGAACAAAAAAAAACACAGCAAACTATATATATACTTTATACTTATATTGCTTGGAAACCGAAACCGAGGCAGATCTCCGCGAACGGTTGCAGCCATAGAAAAAAGAAAGTAAATTAAAGCCAGTCCATAATGTTTGTATTCTGCTGACCCAGCTGTGATCTGCAAGCTAGCTAGCTAGCTAATCCAAGATGCATATGTTGCTCTTCTTTTGCATGTATCCCAAGGTCTGATAAACATCATATGCATGCATGATCAATGAGAACGAAGAAGCTAATTAATAAGCTAAGGAAGAAACAAGATCGAGGTTTATTAGCCAAAACACAAGACAACTATATATATATATATATATATATATATATATATATATATATATATATATATATATAGTTGTCTTGTGTTTTGGCTAATAAACCTCGATCTTGTTTCTTCCTTAGCTTATTAATTAGCTTCTTCGNTTTATATATATATATATATATATATATATATATATATATATATATATATATATATGGGGCCGGTTCCCGTGAGAATGCACCTTGTGGAGAGAAATGAGAATAAAATCTAGCCGTCGGATCTGATGCATCGTGCGGCTCAGATTGCATCCTGCGCTCAGATTTTGAGATAGTGCATTTTCGAAGGTTTATGATGCATTTCAACGTGATGCATTTTCGCACCATTTTGGTGCATATATATATATATATATATATATATATATATATATATATAATGTGTGCTGAATATATATAGCGATATATAATTTTTTCTTTGGGCAATGAATCATGCATAGGAATATCACATCTTGGACAACAATAACATTACATACTCACCAGCTCCTGATTAGAATGGAAGTAGTTGGATTTAATCTCGGCCAGAGTTTCTTCGCCTTGCAAGCTTTGCAGCTGGCTCATCGTGTTTGATGAGTTCAGAGCAGCCCCTCTTTCATTGCATTTCTCCTCCAATGGAATTTCTACGATGTATTCTGCCGGTGGTTTCACCTCACCAGCAATTTCATGCTGATTCACAAGCGAGTAAATGAGGTCACATTTTGATTGATTTTATGGAATCTGTATACTTTCTAAAGAAGTGAGTAAATGATCGAGTTCACATTTTACATGCCTTGTACAATGATTCACAAGGCATTATTTCACAATTCGTAGATTATTCTACGAGTGTAGATTGAAGTGTCGTCATTTATTAACATACTCCCCCCGTTCCATAAAACCCTTCCTTTTTCGTTTTTTTCCAATTCCCTAAAACACTTCCACTTTTATTAAAAAACCACTTTTACTCCTATTTTTTCATACCTTATCTATCAAATCATACTTTTTTACTAAAAACCAAACTATTACATCTTACTTTTACCCATCAGGGACAAAATTGGAAAGTCAACCAAAATTACACTTTCCTTATTTTGGCCCAAAGTCAAAATGGGAAGGGTTTAAAGGAACGGAGGGAGTATTTAAAGATTATTCTTACTTCTGGGATGTCATTAATTGACAAACTTGAATTGCAACAAGGGGAGGGCTTTTCCAAGCTCGGCTTGTCTTCTGCATTGCAAGAAACAAGCTGGCCGTGGGCATCTTGCTGTAGTAGAGATCGGATGAAAGAAACAAATATAAAAGAAATGAGAATATGCATTGCAAATGATCAATCATTTTCAAGAATGAATGTCATCAAAGCAGTGTGTATTGTCATATGTTACACCTGGCTTTCGTTTATCTGTGGTGCGGTCTTAAGACAATCAGTTATCTTGGATAGCTGGTTGGCACGCACATTTTTGCTGCTACTGGAACTGCCATGTCGGACATGACTCCTCATGCCACCTCTTCCCCAAGTGAATGTTTCCGGCTTTCGTATAGGGGAATCCTCATCCTGGGTTTCTCTCCTGATTTTTTCATATGAATTTTCCATGTATATATCCCCTTCTCGGTGGATTGGGGCTGATGGTGATGGATAAGTGTGGTTGGATGGAGTTCCTAAGGCCCTCCTCCTGGCCTTGGCTGGTGCTCCATGCTCATCAGTCTGAGATTTATGGTCAGGATCTCCTTCACTCTCATTATGCTCAGATTGTTGAAGTTCTGTTGTATGCATGCTTCTCCTTCGTCTTCTTGAATAAGCATTCCTATAACTGCGGTATTCTCTCAATGTAGATGATGTATTCAGTTCTTTGTTCAATTTCCGCCTCTTGATTAATGCTTCTGACTGTCTTTGACAAACTTGGGCAATGGATGCCTGGATCTGTGAAATTAACATTTGAATACTCATTACGATTTACTATTAGGGGGCTGAATACATTACTCTAAAGAAAATCTTCCGTGCAGAGCCAATCGCCATTGCTAACATCTATTGAAATTTGTGTGTAACACACCCACAGGTGATTAATGGGTATGGAAGCAAAAAGATTAACAACCTATATATGCTCACATTTTTAAGGTGCAACCGTAGCTCGTAAACTCTGTCACATTCATATTAGTCATACCCTTCATACTAATACCTCATGAGTAGTTAAGTTTCATAATCTTAAAAATGTGATCACATGTTCAAAACAATGTAAAGAGAGTATTCCATAATGATAACACGCTTTTAAAACGATCATACTGATGAAACCTATTATAAGCATTCACTTATGCCAGAAACTCTTAATCGGGATTGAAAACAACATTAACCCGGCTTTCCATATCATGTGGTTCTCTTAAATGAAGCTTTTTAGTTTTTACCCATATATTTATTGCCAAATGCCAAGTATAAAGTTAACCATTTATAGAGCTCCAGTCGGCAATGTGAAATTTTGTTAAATTATCCGTAGAGATTTAAAGGTAATATAGGCAAATTCCATGGCAACATTTCAAAGATCTGACCTGTTGATTAAGTGCCCTCTCCTCTTCATGAAACACAAGTTCCTGAAAAATGTTCGGAAACAGATGAGCTTAAGAACCTTAGCCGTAATGAGGAAGGAGACAGGGGAACGGGTGTTATCTTTTCTTTTTTTGTTCTTGCCCACTACCCTCTTAAGTCTTAATGCAGGACAATACAAGGCTGAAATCTAAATGCAGATATACCTCCTCTTCATACTTCTCAACATCTGGAAATATTGCCTTAATAAGTGCATCAAAGCGCGGATCGTCTCTCAATGAACGCCGACTAGCACAGTGTATGCGGCAAGCGGGGCACTCATTGTTTCTAAAAAGGGTAGTTCGAGATTACAGTATGAACTGGACCATAACATATGGATATCCTCAACAAAATATATTTGGCTCATTAATGATATGTATAGTTTGACGATAAACAAAAACTTTTTTTAAAAAATGAAGTGTTATACCCCAATCTCATTGACTTGTCAATGCACTCCTTGCAAAATCGATGCTGGCATCCCATCACAACGCGGGTTCTCTTGATGATACCTGACATGATACGTTTCTAAGTTACACAATTCGGGTTTCCCGGACAAAATGTATAGTAGAAAACTGATATAAACTACCCGAGTTTGTCCCAAGATTGACTAATAATATATATTTCTTGCTGCTCTTGGAAACAGCCTTTCGTGCATAAGATAAGAAAAGAAAAAAAACAGCTACGACTTCATAAAATAATTCATAACGACATGTGGACAACTGGACAATTCGAATAATAAATCAACTGACAAGTATTTAGCACTAAACCCCAAAGTTGAACATTGAAGAAGAGATGCTAAATCAAAATACCACTGTATAAAACTTTGACCGTGAAAAAGTATTATAGTAAGTAGTAACTCTAGCAACAAATTTGTAATGTTGAAAGTATAAAATAGGAATGTTGCCAAGTACCTAGGCATATAGGGCACTGAACATTGCCACGAATTGCAGATCGTGAAACAGATATCAGCCTGCAAAAGATACATGTGGAATAATTAATTAATATGAATGCCAAACTATTATTAACACTTAAATAGGTTGCAAAAGCATAAATGACCAAGAACACCTTCCATAAGAAGACAAATGGGCTCATTTTGTTCAATAGGCCCCTATATAATTGTTTGGATGATAAACCAAAAGGGTAAAGAAAATAAAACCCACTAACATGGCTTTTCAAGATATCAAGTGCACTAAAATGTACGAGTAATGTTTATAGCAATAAGTCTTTTGTGGTACGTAGTACAAAATATTCGACTCCTCCCACGTTGGGAACGACACTTGATATATGCTAAGACTACCCATTTACTCATACTCACTTTGCTAAGAAAACTTATAGAGACCCCAAAGAATTAAGGGAATGACAACTGAGTATACTTGTAAGAAGATTGATCAAATTTTAGAAAACGACTTCCAGACCAACAATATGGGAGATATAATGTTGTACGAAGGTGCGTAATACTTCGTATATACAATGAGCATGAGAACTGGACAATGTGGTCCCGCTTTTCTACACATGAACATAATATATATTGTGAGACCTCTGATCAATGTAAGGCTTTGTTGGTGTCTCGATGAATGTGAAATGTGTCTATTCTCTTCAACTTTATTTACTTTTTACTGAACTAATGTCGAGCAGCTATTCTTCCGTAACCCCTGTCCTTTGTCCTTCAGACTGGAAAAGCACAGCTGGTTACTCACTTAATGTAAGAGTTAATGGAACCAAAAACCCAATTTTCCTCTTGTTTTTTTGCTGCTGCAGCTAAACTTAATACATCTATAGTTGTGTGCGCAGCAAGTAGAAAGCACGCATTTTGAACAGTAGAGCACACTCATCATCACCAAGAAATATTCTGACAGCTGGAAGCCTCGGGCATTACAGTTGTTTTGACAGCCAGCAATTAAGGGAGGGGGGGGGGGGGA